TGCCCTGGGGTCTCCTCGCACGGGTGGCCTGCCACAAGCACAGTCAGGGGTGAGTGGAAGCCATTTATTTTTCATCTATTGCAAATTTTTATCCTCACTGCAGCTCTTTACAGACAATTTAAAAAAGCGGGAGCAAATATCTGGTTGCTAACGATGCTCTGCGAGCCCTGTGGCCCTCCCTCCAGAGCCTATTGCCGTTACCACCATCTGCCCAGAGATGGAACAGCATCAAAAGCACGGCACCACCCCGAGCGAGTCACCACCGAGCCCCTCACCAGCTCTGGTTTTCATTTCTGCCATCTCCATCCCCGGGCTGCAGCGCTGCTGCTGGCACGGCCACGCACCGCCACGTCTCTCCGCTCCTGCTGCCATCCATGCTCCCGCAAAGGTTATGCCAAGTGGAGCTGGACAAGGCTCTAAACCCAGCAGGTATTTACCCAGCCTACGAATCCCGTCCCCATCCTTCAGGCAGGGGCACCAAGCTTTTCAATACTGTTTTTAGCAACAGTATTTTGAAATTTTAAAAAAGAGGAGGGGGGGGGGCAAAAAAAAAAAAAAAAACCACAACCCCAAAGGGTGGCTATTGTCCAGGTGCAGCATCTCTCTCCCTCTCCTCTTCTGCAGGGTGCGAGTTAAACCTCTCCCTGGGTTGTGAATCTCAGATTCTCCTTCCCAGAAGCTTATCGTCCCTTCGCAGGCAAAGTATGGAAACGGCGATTTAAGATATCTTATAATGGAGCTAATCTTTCTTCTGAGGATAAGATTTTAAAACCTGGAGTCACTGTACATTTATAGGACGGGGAATTAAATATATAAAATGAAAGCAGCCAGAAGGTTCTGGGAAGAATAACGTTCTTACAAGCGTGGTTTTCTTTTGGGTACAGCCCTGTGCATTTCTCCCGCGGCCCCATGCTGTTTGCCAGCACCTAACTGCACGGCACTGGCCCTGCACCGCTGGCCTCCCAGTCGCCTTGCGCCGGCGTCTGCAGCTCAGCCGGCGGAAGGGACCGCAAGCACAGCCAGGACCCGCACGCCCCTGCCCACAGCCCAGCGTCACCCAGAGCCAAGCGGCTGGTGCCAGGATGGGGGCTCCAACTGGCACCAGAGGTACTCGGCGAGGGGCGCGTGCCGTGGGGCGCCAGTGCCGGCACCCAAGCCTTTTGGCCCCGTGAGCAGCGGGCTCTTACCGACGTTGGCCAGGCAGAGGTGGAGGTGGCCCCTCACCACCACGCGGACACCAAGGGGCCGCAGGGCGCCGTGCCGCAGCGCCTCCCGGCCCATCACCGTCACGTCTGGCTCGTACTCGGTTGTGGCCACCTCCAGCTCGTGGTGGGTCCTGACGGCCTCCCGGCCCTGGCGCAGCAGGGGCTGGGGACAAGGCAAGGACAGGCGAGGGGTAACAAGTTACCGGGGAGTCCGGTCTGCGGGGTTAAGGGGTCTGGGTAAGGATGTCTCTGGATGTCCTAAGCGTGGGGAGTTTAGCCCTAGAATACTGCAGGAGTTCCAGGGAAGTGGAAGAAAGTTGACGTTTTGCCATCACTTTCGGGAGATGACAAATCCCACGATTAGGGGCTTGTCAGGCTGGCATCAGTCTCAGTTACACAGAGGGGCTGACAGCAACTCGATTACTGAAGACACGAGGGTAATGCAACAGCATCTCAACACAGGGCCCAGGGAAAAGTCAGGCTCTTCCTTAACACTCCTGCACGCTAAGCAGGGTGTCTCCTTCATCATTAGCAGTCCTGAGGGCTTAAGAAGAAAGACCTTCAACAATTTAACTGATACCTCCAGTTTAACGGCAGCGGACCCAACAAGGAGCAGGGAGTCTCCATCCCAGACGTCAATCTGGAGGCTGTGCTCGGCCAGGTACCGCACAAACCAGCGCTGCTCCCCGGGTCGCAGGAAAGCCGGATCTACCATGTACTTCAGCTGCAAGCCCGGTGGTCCTGCGAGACATGTGGCATTGTCACGGAAATGGAGCTTCCGCCGGCACCGGCACGTCAGCTGGGACAGGGACATTCTTCTGCTCCGGAGAAGCCCGCCTGCTCGCACACCCACTCTCCTCCACTTAATGAACCCGTTGGTCAACTAGTAAGGTCCAAGGTCCCCCGGGATTGGCACCCTCCCACAGAAACACTCGGTCTGTATAGACGCCCCTCTCATTTCCATTAAGAGCTCTGCATGGAGAAGGAGCTTCATCAGCCACAAGTGCTTGGTGTCTCTTGAGACCAGAATTTAATAAGACACAGAAAGAAACAAAGAAAAGCATTCAGCTAGGAGAATCAGAGCCGCTCACTCCGGGCGCCGTGCTCCCACGTGTTGCCTTTCTTTTCAAAGGCGCGTAGCTGCAGCAGGAGCCAGCAGCCTCGATATGCAAATCGCCCCACCAACACTTACCAGTGTTTTACTTCAAACATTGGACATTTTGAACGTTTTTTCATGACGTGCCACGCAAACTAGCGGAGGCTTGCTATTAAAGCACACACCAGCCCATTCCTCAGCCCAGAGGCAAGCCCAAATCTGACTGTCGGAAAAGGAGCGGCCACACAAGGATGCTAAAACCGGAGCTTACCGGTGCCAAGGGTCCCGTCCTTGTTCAGCCGGACAAGGAGCTGCGCTGGCACAGCCAGCCTGGCCGCCGGCCCCCCGTCAGTGCTGACCAGCTGCAGCCGCGGCGTGGTGACCGGCGGAAAACGGTAGAACTGGAAGGTGAGGAAGACGGTCCTTGGCCACATCCCCTCTGCGCTGTCCCGGGCATCCCTTGAGGGAGAGAGAGGGGTTTGGGTTAGCTTGTGGCATGGCGCTGCCTCCCCATCACGAGCCCCTCGTGCGTTTGACACACGCTGAGAGGCAGAAGAACAAGAGAAGATCATCAGCATCACAAGTATTTGGACTCCTCTGAAGACAGCGGGCATATGGTTTGCCTTGGCTTTCCAAAAAGCTTCATAATTCCAGCTGTCTCCCACCATATGCTACGACGGAGGAGCCCAGCAAAGGCAGCGTTTTACCTTCGCACAGCACACTGCCATCCACGGAAAAAACACGAGTGGGGCCTTATCCAGCCAAAGCCACTCCCACGGGTGCCAACTTTCTCAACTCCATATGCATTTATGGAGAAACCCTGCATTAACGAGCTTTTATATCACATTGTGGCTAATGGATACAATAAAAAAACTGGGATATGATTTAAGAGTGCCTGGAAAGGACAAGAGCATCATCGTAAAACCCTCCAGGGCTTTGCCTCCACAGCAGGTGCTGGAGGAAGCAGCACCTTTGCAAGGAGTTCTTTCGCTCAAGCAGGGAAGTAGGTTGGGGGGATTTTGAGAAAGCACTCTCCCCCAGGAGGCCCCTGGGATCTGCCCACAGAAGGCACCGCAAAGAGCTGCCATCCCACCTGCCAACAGCCAGGAACTGCAGGATTATTTCGTTGCCTTGCAGAGGGTCGGCTTCCTCCAGCCGCAGGCTGAAACTCGCCGGGTCCACCGGCTGTGAGATTTCCACTGGCTCCTGGTTGCGGTCCAGGATCTCCGGGAAGCCGGCGGCATGCAGGCGTGCGAGGGAGGCACGGGAGAGCAGCGTGTGGGAACTGACGGAGAAATGGGGGTGAGCCGCGCGGACGCGGGGGACCTCAGCGGGCCGGGCGATGGGGGTGCAGGAGCCTGGGGAAGGGTGGCCGAGCATCACCTGCCT